TGCACTGTACGCGTCTGTACGATCCAGAGAGCCAGTCCTCAGTCCCTGACAGACTCCATCTGCCGGAGACTGTCCAGACCCCGCAGCCTGCTGCCGAGCTTCTGTCCAGCTCACATGTAATGCTATTTTAAAACCTCTGCTCCCCTCACAGCTCAGGACTTAATGTCATTTTGGGAAACAGAAAGAGACACTCTTATGAAACAGGTCACACCGGCCGGTGAAGAGGTGTTTACATCTGTGGAGTTTACATTACTTCTGTTCATTTCTCAAAGGCTGTGCACTGTGTACCCCTGAGGACACTGCACAGAAAACTCATTATTTATAATGCATATTATGGATTTTTCCACCTGTCGATACTAGTCAATTCATATACATTTCCCCCATGTACCCCAGGACCAATGTCTCAGTGGCTGTTTTCCAATTGACTGTCTAAGTTGGAAACTGATCCAGTGAATGCAGCAGAGGAATCAGGGCGTTGTTTCTGGAAAAAGTTGATTGATGCTGTTTTTAAGATTTTCATTCTTTTTCACTGCTTAAAAGGTTATAGTTATGGTTATATTGGTGAGTTTTATTTTCTTTCTGTACCATTGTTTTGGTCTGAGATGCTTGTGCTATCATTGGTTTGGTCAAAATAAATCCTTAATTCACCAAGTTAACTGCCAATATATTCATGAAAAGGCCCGCAAAGGCACAAATACGCCCATCAGAGTACGTCCACTAAAAGTCCTTGTGTTTGCCACTGACAGGCTCAGATTGTTATTGTGTCTGACATGGAAAGGATCCCTACAGAGATAGATCTTTTGTTTAACCAGAAACAGCCGTATAGCTCACCACAGGACTCCGTGGACAAACCAGTCATTTCAACTCTCATATCATTGTAACATCATAACTTCATTCAAAGTAGACAGAAACAAACCAAAACTCACCAAAAACAGTCTTTGTTAGTCTTTCCACTGTTCCACAACCACTAAGTCTGCTTTGGTCAAAATAAATCCTCAATTCACATAGATGATAGTTTCAGTGGCTCTACTCAGCTGCTCTCAGAGCAGACCGGCTATGGAAACGCAAACCACAGAGAGGCCCGATAGGGCAACAAACAGGCAGGGGAGAGTGGACACCCATTCTCTGCTCAGGACACCCAATGACTACAGCTATATCTTTATTGTAGATAATAGTTGTTTCCTGGCAATATTAAATGTTTCAGTGTCATACATATAATCCTTTAGCACTACCCAAAACAACAATCCGCCCCTGTTGTAAGAAGAACCCAGAACTATATGCATGGTTCTGGTCCTCAACCAGTCATGGAGCCGACGGTAGATCCAGGCTGGCACAAGTCATTTTATAGTGGCTAGTAACAGGGTCCCCAAAATTAACTTTTTGGCTGAAATGGGGAAAATGCTTCGCGCGTTAACAATATTCCTTACGCAGCCATAAAACTGTCTCATA